GGCAATTAAGAAGAAGGTAGATTCTACTGCCTGAAATTCTATTGGATCATCGAAGCAATCGACCTCCTTTTACTCTTGCTAAACTTAGCTTATTCGAAAACATTCAATAGTGAGCTTTCTGAAAAAAAAGAGTACACGCGTGTATCATCCGATCAAATAGTTGCATCGTGATAAAAGTTTTATTTCTATTGTAAATACAAAAGGAGCAAGGAGCCATTATACCTATCGATTCAAAGGTAGCTGATATTATAAATTTTATAAATCTTAAGGACGATTAAAATTCTTCCAAATTTAATCAAACTTGTCTGATTGTCCTCTCTTTCCAAACAATCTCCTCGGCCGATTTCCTACGAAGTTAAATATTTTCCAAACGCATCGTCAACTTCGCCAAATTTGTCGTCAATGATGATCGACGATCATTTGTATAATCGTTTTCCCATCAATTACCTATATGATGATTTCTAACGAGCTCGGTTTTTCACCTATAACGATTTAAACGAGAGCGCGCACGACGCAAAGCGTTCTGAGGATTGTCGTAATTACCGAGAATTAATAATAACGCCGTGGAGGCCCCCTGCCCGATCTTAATTGCAATTAATTTCTAATTCACCTGTTTACCCGTGCTACGTGAATCTGCCCCACCAGCCGTACCCGCGCTCTCCGCTCTCTCGCTCCCTCTCCTCCTCCCCTTGTTCTTTTATGAATTAAATGCGCATTAACGTTAGACGATGTTAACGATTAAGATCAGGGGTCACGCTAATTAAAGGCACAACCGTCAGGTCGCTCCGCGTATAATTCCGGCGTATATTTTAAGCAAAATAAGACGTAAGACGTTCCATACCTGCAACAACTATAGTACGTTTACAATAATATAGAGCATAGAATATTCGATGTAATGAAAAATTAACAGCTTCCTGTAATAAGTTCCTTTTTATTTTCCACGGTGTGTTTTCTCTATGGCGATTCAATCTTCGGCTAGCAATTTTGTCATCACCCAGGTAAAACTGAAAATTGAATTACTCGAAGATCGCTAACCAAAACCTCGAAGGCGGCAAATTGTCTCCGGTCCTGATAATAAATTGGCACTGACGCGAATCCATTTACCCGTGATCTAATAATCGCCAGCAACTTCAAAATTGCCCTAAAGAAACACCACGAGGTGGCAGAAAATTTATACTATAATGGAATAATTTGTCTAATGTAATAATAGAATCATCGTCTAAAAATGAAAGAAAGGAAAGAAGGAAAAAAGGAGAAGAAAGAAGAGGGAGGGTGGAATCGAAGAGTTTGTAGCTCGATTTCGGCTTCACGGGTCGTCGATTAACCAGAAGAGGCGATGAAAGAGTTCGATGAAATAATGACGGGACCAGGTCGATAAATAGTACGCCTTTGCTGGTCTCAGGGGCGGAGTGAAGCAGGTGGAAGGGGCTCGATGGGGCCCTTCAGGGCCAGCGTTAATGCCAGCCAACGGAAGACAGCTATCAAAAGCCCGTATTTAAATATTATCAGTGAAATTACAGTGCTCACTGCTCGCGAGAGCTGCTCGGTCATTACCGACTGGCAATTCGGCCTCTTTAATCGCCGTTGTCAATACTAATCGACATCGTCGTTATTTAATATTCCTCCGCGTGTTTTTCTCTTTTTTACCGACTGTTCTTCCTCTGCTTTTTTGTGTCTTTCATATGGACGAATGGGAACACCAAAGTGGAGGACGCCGAAAGTTTTATTGAAAATTAATGGTGCCATCCTTTGAGTGTCTTTTTTATTTCTTTTTTTAAAAGTGGTTACATATAACACGTTGATTCCCAGACGAAGGAGAGTTTGCGCAAGTCTACACGCAAAGTTCGAGAGTAGCTTGGTTCGGTATATTAAGTGTAATATATACGAATATTATTACAGAAAAGAGAAAAATTATTTTAATTCTTTCTAATGTATTTAAGATGATTTGAGTAGCCATAGTTTCATCAATGTCTAAATGGAAATACTGGTTATCCTTATTCTTATCTGCCACGTATTAAAACCTAATAATTAAAAGTTAAGAATCACGAACATCGTTCCACCAAACAAACATATGTTATAAATACAATTAGTACTCTCATATTCTACTTGATTCTTGTCTACGTATCAGCATATTCCGATTCAATTCTCATGATGTTCAATATAATGAACAAACACCTCTTGTTTCCTCCAAAATTAACAAATACCATAACTTACCTTTACTATAGACAATCTCCGACACCGACGTACGAAACAAAACATCATCTGAAACCGTAATATTATTCATCATATTCGCTTCGTCTGACGACTGAAGGCATGGCGATTACACACGAGGCACCGAATTACGTCGACGGGATTATCTGTGCCGTTTTCAACGTGGCAGCCACATAATAACACGGCGAGTACGCAATTAGGAACAGTCTACGGCAAAATAGTATCGGTGCTCGGTATCTGCGTTAACTCCTCATTAGCATAGACCGGCGAATAGAGCAACTATGAAACGAGGAGACGAGTACACACATAGTAACGAAGGAAGGAAAAGGTTAGGGGGAGGCAAGACGAACGGAGACGCGGGTTGAGGAGTTGGAGAAATAATTAAAGCTCAACGATCGCTATCTAAATAATTAGAAGTTGGCGTGACTCTGCATAAGGCCGCGTGTACGCGCCGACTGAACTGTCAGATCGTAAGATTCCGCGAGGCGGGCATAATTAGACGAGAAATATGAACGCGAAATCCGTGTATTTAAATGACGACGCGCGAGGAAGCGATGTGTCAAAATCGTGCCACGGATATTCTTTTCTTCTACGATCGTGGAAATCGCAGCGCTTCCTAGCCGGCCTCGTGAGTCAGACCCGATGCGCTTTCGACTATCGTATCTGCGCAATCCCGCGGCCGAAGATCGCCGTATGGAACCGTGAAAAGTCGGCAGGAAGCGTTGCGAAAATGCTACGAGAAGGCTGCAACACGAACCGTGGACAGTGTTTAAAAGCCACACAAGTAACTGTCAAGCGGTTATTAATATTTATAGTGAAACGTTGTGTAAGGACAACATACTTCTTATTTCATGAAATTTGTAATTACGAACTAGAAATAATTTGTAATCGCGCAAAAATATTTAAAAAATTGAGATCTCCACTTGTCGATATTCCAAAAATAGGCAAGTGGCGGGGATATCAATAACAGTGGATCGCGAGATGCGAATAATCTTCGAACAAGCTTGAAATTAATTTCGAAATTTTACCTCTATCGTACGATACAATTTTGTCGATTCGCTGCCTACTTACGTAAGTGTAACTTCCGTGGTCGCAGCATGACCGTATGCCACATGGGTTTAGGCAATTAGATGCAAATTATGGGAGCGTGTTCGTGGTCCAAAAGACCGAAACACGTGGAGAATTTGCGAATAGAGACGGAAGAACGCAGGTAGGAGGCGACGTGCTCGGCGGCATTGTCAAAGGGTTCCTCCGGGAGGCTCGCGAATCACAGATGCAATCAGATAAAGGGCGGTTCTTCTCGGATTACCGTATGCGAGCCCCTGCTGTGTCCACGCACCTTAAACTACCATTCTCACGTGCGGCGACACAAGCAGAGCCCACGTGCTCGAGATACAGTTGAGGCCGACCAACGAGCGGTTCCCATGCGTTATCGGGATCAAATTATATAATGCACCCTTGACAAGGATTTCACGAACACGAGGTCTTTGTTAAATGCAACATGTCTACATGCGTTAACTCCAATTTAATCTTCTCGCATCTGAATTTTCCAGCTTTTCGTTGAGACTGTTAGACAGCGCGATCGTAAGGTCTTTGACCAATGAGCGATGAAAATTAAGATTCGTCGATCATAAGCATATTGCTTTATTATTATTAATTTACCAATTAATGCTATTAGTATACTGATAGGTAACAAAGTGTAACACTCTGTTACACAAACAGGTTTTACAATTTTGCGGCAATTAGTAAAATTTTGATTGAAAAAAACTTTCTTCTAGAATTTCGTTGTCTTATTACGAATCTTGTTGCTATTATGCAAGAGAATTTATTAGTACCGTTAATTCGTAAAACTTTACCGATAATAATCCATTCAATTGTGCAAGAGATTCCTGATATTATCTTTGATTCGTAATTATATCGCGTACTATCGACGTTGCAATGAAATTTCAGTCACAAAGTTATATTATAAAAACTTAGAAAATTTGCCAAGAGATCGCAAAGGAAAACATACCTCTTCTAAAATTCCATAGAGAAAGATTTCAATTACAAATAGCACTCGTCAAAGTGTAACGATTAAACTCGCGATGCAGCATAGAATTAGAAGAAAATGTCAGCATAAAATCTTCAAAGGCTCCGGTCGGAACCTGTTCCCATCTGACGACAGTAACGGAACGATCGTTCACGTAGGTTCGATTAAAGAATCACTGCCGCGTGCTCATCGCGGACGAATTCGATCACGTCTCGACGATACCGATGAACAACCACTATGATTACGCGAGCCACCTTGATGACGAACCAAAGTCGTGCTAGCTTCGAGATAGGCTACGTTCGAAGGCGATCCGAATCGAGCCGATCCAGCTTCGAATTAATCGGACTTTTGTTCCGCGGCTGAGTGCTTATTAAGCCTGATTCTTTATTGTGTTTGATCTACAGGCATGCAAACACGATCCAAATACCGCGAGTGTATCGAAGCCACCATTACAGATAAACGTGACCGACCAGTAGCAATAAATCGACGAGATGTTACAGTTTTGCTTAGAATTTTGCTAGTCAATAGAGAAGTCGTGATCGATGAATTTTAGAAAAAATTATAAACTAGGAGAATAGGATTCGGTTTCTGCGAATCTACTTTTTCATTATTTTCATTATTATTCTTAATCCTTATTATTAATCATTACGTTCCTTGGATCGTTTTCAATCCATCGCGTATTCCTGTTGCTATAAAATTTCTTGATTTTAATTTTTAGCGTTCGAAAGTTGGATATGTCCGAAACAAATGAAATTCATAATCTTAAGAACCGGCGTGTATTTAACAAACTGAACAATTCAACAAACATTCTATGTACATTGTTCCTCTTTGCATTGTTGATAAATAATTTAATCGGTCTCGTAATTAATGGCTTCCTCGGCAACGAGATCTTTCAATTAATTTACATCTTTCCGATATTACAAACGATCTTCTATAAAACCTAGAATGAATATCTTTCGTTATTCCATAATTAGGATATATACGAATATATACGATCGATAATTACAATCATCGAATCTTGGTATCCAAATCGAACGAACTGCTCGTCGATTTGGGACGAAAGAACACGATCTGAGTGATCGAATCTGAATAAGATCGATTGATCTTCGTCTTAGCTGGGTTGCCGCATTTATGTGCCTTCAATTGGTATCGTTCACCATACTGACGACCGCAATAATCGCACTTGTACGGTTTCTCGCCGATATGACCGTAAATGTGCTTGGCCAATTTCGTTTTCACGCTGAACCGCGATTTGCAGAGATCGCACTCGAATCGTTTCACCCCCGTGTGACGATATCTGTGCACTTTCAGGCCCCAGGACCTCCGGTAACATTTGCCACAATCCTCGCACTTGTATGGTCTCACGCCTGCAAAATAAATGGAATATTCAATTGAAGGCTTCTTTGGTTTAACATTTAATTCTGTCTTTACTCTTAGAGCCAGGAGCATTTGACTCGAGATAAAATTCCTACCCTTCAAACTCTTTACTTTTTAAAATACTTGACGATCTCTTGTTGAACGCATCTCAAGAATAGATTTCATTCGTTCAAATTCCAATCGTTCCAGTCACTCAAATTCTGATCGTAAACTTCGCTCCAAAACTCTATAGCACAACCCTATTTCCTAATTCCCTACAATCCTTAGCAAGTAGAACGTATGAAACATCGGAACCTGAACGAAATTAGTTGCAACACTGACGAACCACGGTTTATGTGCTCGTAAAAACTGAACAAAAGAAAAAGGAAAGAATGGAATAAATAAAACTGCGTGCATGTCGGTTCCTGAAACGGCCAGTTTCTGCCTCATCATATTCCAGCATTTACAACCGAAACGTTATCGCCGTTTAAATACGCGTCTATCATATATCTCGAAACTTCATCAGATCTCCTTTTGCGACGCGAAGGGTTTAATTGGCAGGCGTGTAAGAAGCGCAGTCTGCGCGTAATCCTCGATTTTCTAATTAATACAGACCTTCCTGGGTTATTCGCTGTAACACAAGGGCGTAAGCGGCTGACACGCTTGTCTCGTGATTTTTATGTCTCAATACCAGCCACGAATTTATACGAGTGTGTAAAATCCGTAGTAGAGAAGATCGTGACGATCTTCGTGCGGAGAAGCAATTTTAGCCACACCACCAGACGAACCTTACTTCCGCGATTTTACTTAATTGTGAGAATATTCACATTGATTCTGTCTGACTAACTTGTGCTCATCAGCTTCGTCACGTTATTTTAATAATTCTAACCTCGTAAGGTTGGAAATATATAGTGACTTTGTCTGCACTTGCGTTCCACGAGAATTCGTACTTAAGGAATTGAAAGAATTCTTCTCTTTATCTTTTAAAAGATTCTCTTTATCTGGAAAACCAATTGGAATAAGTTATCCCGACACGTATTTCTATTATTTTGCAATTCATCGTCCTTGCTGTCTATTCGCAAGATAGACCATCTATCTAGAAGCTTGTCGCATAAATAATTTCTTTCCTGTTATAATAATATCTCGAGCTACACAAAATACACCATACTCCTATCACGATACAATCTACAAAAATTATCTGTATTACGAAACTATTCGCCTACTAAACCCATGTCCAAAATCAGTATCGAAATAGCTTGATGCAATCCCGTTATGAAATTACCAAACTCATTCTACCCGAGAAATTCCCAAACTCTCACCATAATGCGACAATATATGGTGTTTCAACGCGCCCTTTAAATGGAACCGGTGCTTGCAGATGTCGCACTCGAACCTTCTAATACCAGTGTGCGTCAACTTGTGGGTTTTCAACACGGAGGACCTCTTAAACTTGGCAGGACAAAGGTCGCACTCGAAAGGCGAGTCCGCGGTGTGAACGATCATGTGTGCCCTGAGGCTACTCGGCCGGAGGAACCTCTTCTTGCAGATCGAACACTCGAACGGCTTCACATTGGTGTGCATCAGCTTGTGATCGCGCAACGACTGCCGATGGAGCAGCTTCTTCTTGCACACGCCGCACTCGAACGGCCTGCGGTTTGAGTGCATCTCGGCCTGATGCGTCCTCAGCTGATCCCTCTGCTGGAATTCGAAGCGAGTCCCCGCGGTAATTGATTACGTTTTGCAGAAAGACTGGTGTCGATCTTGTTCCCGATGCTGTTCTCGAGCGTTTTTACGCTCGACAACGGAAAGAAAACGTGGAAACACTGGCATACCTGAAATCGAAGGCTGCAGTGCCTGCACATGAAGGCTTTGAACGTCTCGTGCAGCCGGAGGTGATCTTTCAGAGCCGAGGACCTTGGAATAAGAAATGTGGATATAGTGTATCGACCTTTAGAACTTCATATTAGTGCGCAAGGCATACCAAAGCCGACTGATCAACTTCGTTAGCCTTTCTATCAATTTTGCCTTCGATTAATTCAATTTTCTTATATCGAACTTTACTGAAATTAATTTATATATTTTTATATGTATTAGGATGTCCGAAAAATTTCTTTCGTTTTATAAGGAAATAATGGATGCACAACGTTTTATATTATTCTATCGAATTACGTCTGATCCATTTTATTCTATGAAAATAAAGATCACAACGTTCGACAGATTAGGTTTCATGTTTGTATAAGGATACATCGCCGTAAAAGACGTGTCTGTAAAAGAAAGATATTTTTCAGACAACCTAATATATATTATATGTAATATAAGTTAACGCTAGGTTTGTAAAAGTGATACGTAATAACAACGATGTCATAACTGGTATAAATTCCTTTCTAGAAATACATATGTGCAATAGGTTGCCGAAGAATTAAATCCTATATTCCGATACTCGGATTAAGAAATTGTCAAAAAATGAAGTCGATCATTTTGCCTTCTAAACGACTCGCATCTTACCGTGAAAACTGCTTCGCACAAAGGCCACACTGGAACAATTTTCCGTGACTGTGCCCTATCATGTGCGTCTTGAACTCCGCTTCATCGGGAAACTCTATCCTGCAGACGCTGCAAATCAATCTTTTCCCTGTAGTCAACGCCTCTATGTATTCCTCGAAGTCTACGTATTCGTCCGACGTAATTTCTCTTTTAACCAAAGACAAGCTTCTTCTTCTTTCTTTCCTACGTTTCTCGAACGTGTAAATAAAATCCTGTGGCTCCTGTATCTTCTTCCTAGAGTCACTTTCGTACGGAACATCGACATCCAACTCGTCGTTCGCCGAAAAGTCCTCGATCTCGTCGAGCACCTCGGTCTTGATTTTCACCTTGCACCCGGTTGGGAAAAGTCTGATGAATTTTCATATCTAACACGCGGTTTCGCTCGGTGTAATCGCGCGCCACGATCTCCCCGGTTTCGTGGACATTGCATATGCAGGATATTAGATAATTTCGCGAGCGCTTCCGCGAGAAATGGCGGTGCTCCCGCGAAAGGAGGTGTGCTTCGCGATGAGCGATTTAATGACTCGACGCTTTATTACGTAAAACGAGAGACGAAAGAAAAAAAGAACGATGAAAAAAAAACGTAGGAACAGAGTGGGGGAGAAGGGCGCGAGGGGCAAAACGAGGAGAAAATGGAAAAACATTGCGTCGTCTACCTGTTTGGAAATGGTTGCTTTTTATATAATGAATTATGCAATTAGCAGATAGAGAACAGCGATCTTACGATACAACGAGCCGGTCGCTGATCAAAAGAATATTTTAGCCCAGTGTTTTTATAGACCCTATCATAACCTAATCGGAGCGAAGTCCTAGAACCTACTTCTTTGCACCGCTTGCAACGCTTCTGGATTCCTATTATCTTCACTTCGCTATCGTCCTCTTCGTTTTCCCCGATTTCATTGCGATTTCGATAATTGTCTCTCGCCATGTCCCTCTTGTTTTCTGACATTTCGCGATCACGGTAGGAAGAAATGGAAACAGACGCGCGAAGAAAGCGAGAGGAGATCTGGAAACAAAGGAGCAACGGAGAATTGATCGGGAATGAATTGCTGGCATAGATTGTAATATTCTTGGTTAATTCTAGTCCTTGAAGTTCGCTTTGCCTGGCTACGTGATTTCACTTTCAAAAATTACATTTACACAACCTTCTATGACTTCATATACGTGGAGATAATTTCTTTCTCTGTGAAGGAAAATATCCTCATATATGAAGTCAAAGTGATATTTCATATTCTATCTACGTCACATTTTCTTAGAAATCGAAAGTATACGATATCAATAAAAGCAGATAAACTAAACGAAAATCATTCCTTCGATCGGTCGCTGCTTTATCTCTGATCGCTTATGCAAACATACGTAAGTGTGGCGTGGCCTCTTTCCAACGTAATATCACCGTTAGATTCGATGCAAACGAATTTATAGCCTTAACGATGCGATGCACAAACATGCAATTCGACAATTAGAGGAACAAAACTACCTAATTTACCGTCATCGCGTGCTTATGCACATGCGGTCTTATAATAGCGAGATCGTGTGCTTGCAGATACTACACCATTGAGAATATCGTTTTTTTAAATTTTTCACGTTTCATCAGGCGTCAACTCGAAAGTTCCAAACGAGACCGACGTATTCGACGATCTGCGATCTCGTCTTTTATATTCACAAATTCATCTACATTCGTATGACTTGCAAATTGCATCGCAACAAAGTCAAGCGTGCACGTCAGCTGATTCACGGTCTGGGATCTCGGCTCGATCGATGCTCATCGATGTTTGTTTTTTAATATAGTCACGATGTCTGGCTTAATTAGACCATCAGCATAGCAGGAGAATCGTGTGTAAAGCGTATGTATTTCCTAATTACGAGACTTGTTAGCGGGGGCGGTGCTCGGATGCTTTATTGGCCCATAAAAGGCAAATAAAAGCTACAATGAGACGTAACTACGCTGAAAACCGAGGAAGTTTAAGCTGATACAAAGTAATTAGCGTGCCGGCAAGGTGGCCGCGGTTTCAGTGTACTAATCAGAGCGCTGCGAAAGATGCATAACGCTGTTGTATTACGCTATCGTGTCTCATATACATACACGCGATTAAAAGCGTCGGCTTACGTGTGAGTGGTAGCCAAAAGTGCGCCGCACTCGCTCGTCTGTAAACTCATAAATAATTATCTCGATATTCGTGAAACGATCTAGACCAAACGAGCGAATTAATTAATTAAAATATAAAACGAAGCTTGGAGTTCACGTATGCTCGCGAACGAAATAGCGGTCCGTCGAGATTCTTCGCTGGTGTTCTAGCTTCGTCATTCGATGCTTTCGAATATTCTGTGTGATATTTACTTATAAATAAAAAACTGTTTTTAGCTTTCGCAAGATATCGGACGAATGTTAAAAGGATTAGATCGCAAGCCTTAATAACTCTTCGATAATCTCAAAGAGTGTAACATCGTCTCCAAAGACTTTATCGATTTGCAACCTGCAATCGTGTGCAATCACACGTTTAGCGTTTATCTAACGACGATAACGAAACGATAGTTGAACGTCTAAGTGTTTCGTCGAATTTTAATTAACTATCGCCTCGATCAACGCTATGACGAACAACCTTATCAAAACTGTTTAATTCCAGGAACTTCGTTTAAGCCTGATAATCGTCGAATGCAAAGCTTTGGAATCATCGACGAAGATGGAAATCTCGTACGGAATCTTAAAAAGAACCGAGAATCTCTTGGAAAAGTATTGGACTGATTCGATCGGAATTATTCTCCGTAAGTACAGAAACTTCTTTACAAACAACGAACGTTGCTGGCGGCGAACTGGCAAAAAAATTCGCGCGCGGATTTCAATCGGGCACCGAAGAAATTGCGGCTCCTCCATCGTAACGTCCTCTTTCCCAACATTCCCGACCACCATCGACGCCAGTGGGACGAGAATTTCAGTGGAAACTCCTTAGCAGCGGTCAGACGCGACGCGCGACGCGATTTCCAAGTGCCTTGAACTCGCGTAAATATACTGGCGTAAAAAAGGAAAAGGAAAAAGGGAGAGAGGGCTCTCGTGAGAAACGTGGCTGAAATTTCGAGCCCGCGTGTGTATGCAAACGTCACGTTTTCCTCGCGAAACGCTCATGCAATATTAAAAAGGGATCGGTTAATTGAAACTCTCGGGGGCTTCTTAATTAGGGAAATTCAGATTCCCAGCTTTTGATTTTCTTCCCCATTCAAACTGTTGCTATCTGTTTGTATAATCATACAATGTCGCTTCCTCCTTCCATGCTACGAGAATTATCGACCATCCAAATTTAACCTACCGATGACCAACGCTATATTATCGTGACATTTCATTTGTAACGCGATCCGAAAATCGATTTCCAAACATTCTCTATGGTCAAGTTAGTCGCCAGACTATCTCATCTTGGATGACGCGATTCATTCGATCAGATTAATAAACTACATATATACAATTATCCAATATTCAAGAAGTACATTAACAATTCTTACGTGAAAAGAGACCACTAGGACTCTTTGCATACTATCAAAAATACTATTAGTAGAACTTTACGAGTCACAAATCTAGTAACAATGCAACAAAGTTAAGAATAAATCAAATGAAACTTTGTAATCTTCCAACAATTACGAATCATCCAATCATGCTATGCCGGTGTGAAATTCTAAAATAAGAAACTATAAGCTACAATCCTTAACATAATTCACCAACGTCATTATTTTGCTAAATTATCGCGCAAAAGTATCCAGAATCGGAATACGAAACTTTTGGTCCGACCTCACCCTCTCGATTCCAATACGATCAGGCAGCGTTCGTTTCATTCTTTTTTTTTTTTCCTTTTCTTTGGTCGATCGACGATCGAGCGCGCGATTGCGAAAAAGAAATCGCGTCGCGATCCGGCGTGGCGTGGCAAATAAATCCGCGACACACAGCGTGGTCCCCGCTGATGCATGATTTCATGGAATCGCGATGAGGGACTGCAACGCGGTCGCCCGCCTGTGCGCCCGCGCTTAAGCGAGCGAGCGAGCGAGTACGCGTGTGGGAAACTCGCCGGATGCATTATGTATTTATTGCTTTACTTACTTAGTTGGGAATTACTTTTGCCAGCGTAATGACTTTCAGACAACGCGCTATCTTAGGAATGCAATAGGTCTGATTTATCGCTTCACCGACGTTTTTCTCGGGCCAGTTTGTCGTTATCGGTGTACTTGCCCTGCTGTCTGTCCGTCTGTCGCGCTATTGGTCTGCCTCTGTCTAGTGACCTCGAAACTTCGATGAAGAACGATTCCGCTCGCGACAGCCCTACCGATCCTCGGGAAAGCCACGCTCAAGCGAGAATCTTTCCTATCGAAGACGAAGGGTTGCACTTTTCAAAGGATTTTGTACTCGATATTTGCCCTCCTATTCTCCAAATTCTACCCCAATTGAAGCACTCTGGATAAGGTTTTAGGTATTTTAGAATTGGGACGGGTAGATTAGGAGGGAACAGACAAATATCCAGATAAAATTCGATAAAAATAAATTGCAAAAAATTTGACGATGGTTCGATAAAAATTTGGATCTATAGAAATTACAGGAGATTTGACGACGATTGAAATTCCGCAATAGCGGAAGGTTGGAATTTATAAGATGGAGGAAATTGCGCAATTGCGAAGATGAGAACAACTCGATGATATTTGGTGTTTCGAAAATTTTCCTTTTACTCTGCAAATTTCTTAATTAGAAGATACCATAGATGTCTTAATAAAGATTACAGAAAATTATAATTCACGATTGGAATTAAGGAAACGATACGAAGGGAGAAGGAAACGCAGGAATACCATAGAGGAACGGTATAACTAATTCGATGTAAACGAAGCTCGGTACGCGACGATTGGAAAGAATGGCGGAGTTAGAAGCTCTACCTCAAGCGGATAATCGGGAAATTGAATAGGAGGAACGAATGTGGCATTAATGAACTAATTATTGCGAGGATACGATCGGTCGATGTCTGGAGTGTGCTTTCAGCGAGACGACGGCCGTGGAACACGGGCCAGTGAATCGCGCTCGCGAGGAATCGCACATATTTTTTCTCTCCTTTTCATGCAATAATTTCGCTAATTGCCTCCCGAGATAGACCAAGGCGGATGAGCATGTGAGTACGCAATAAATATTCGTGATTAATTAACGATGCCAGATGAGCGGTGCCGTTTTAGTATCGAAGAACAGAGAGAATACAAGAACGGAGGTGAGAGGAAAGAAAGAAAAGAATTGAAACAGGCTGCGCGTTGGGAGCAGTTTTAATTGGACGTCGTATCGTTTCTCGGTTTTACACTTCGGACAGTTTTGTAGGCACGCGTCCTTATCTCGCCGATTATCTCTCTGGTAATATCTAGAACGATAATTTGTCGGGAATATTTATCCCTTCCTGTTTCAGACTGTTCTCGATGTAAAAACAGTTGCCGCGAAACGGTGGATACGTTTATCGAACATGAGTTACATTGAAAAAATCGTTCCTTTTTCCTTATGAAGAGTACGTATTGTTACGGAGAATACAATTCCGTAATTTTACTGTTCTATGATCTTTCCTCTTTTTAGCCACTTCACATTTTTTTTTTTTTTTAATTTATAGATCAATTAGAAATATATTAATAACCGGCAGAGCGTATGTTCGATGCAAAAGTTGCATTAGAATAATTTGTTCTACTCTGGTGTTATTTGATCGATGCTTGATCGAAATGTTGTTCCTCCGGAGTTTGAATACACGAACATCTATATAAAGAATTTGGAAAGTTTTATAAGGTAGCAATTTAATTAACATCGAACAATTTGTGTACTTTCGATTATAATTCATGGAAACGTGAATCAGTGAATATTTGCAAATCGATTCGCGAAATCTCTTCGTTGTGCATCGACTAAATTTAACGATGACAACGCTAAGACGCCGGTTGCTCGATAGATAGTCTACTTGGATAGTCATAAAAATCGGCCTATCTCCGTGTATACTCGCACATAGTACACCGATATGAATATGCTATTCAAACCCTATGTTCCCCTCTTTACAAGAATCTCTGATAACACTGCTCGATAACGTGTTTCTAAGGCTTTTTTTTAATCGTGGTTTCTTTCGCAATGATAAAACATTCATACAAGTATTCCAATAGGATTTCGCGATTTTTTCATTTTACGACACGAGGCATCGATTTATTGCCTCTTATCGATCCGCTTACTCGGTCGATCTACAAACCTGCTTTTCTAACTTTATCGTTAAAAAGTGAAAAAAAATACAGATATGTATATATTAGATATAGGAAAGAATTCTGTATTTATGTTAACAACACGTATTTTCGTTTTAAAAGCTTCATGTAATTTCAGTCGTTACTTGTCTAAGTAAACTAAGTAAAGTCTGTCTAACCATCTTTCGTTCTTGCTATCTTTCGTCTCAAGATCCTCAAAATTCTCAACCACGAAATCTTCAAAATCCACCCCTTTCGAAACCTTTGATAATATCCCTAATTCGATTATTTGTACAAAAATTTAATCTCAGTTATCTTCCTAAGCGCAGGAGGTCATAAATACACTGTCAGCGAACCTCTCTCCCAAACTTTTCTCGTGAAACTCTCAGAAACTTCTCCAAAAGCTCCAATGATATTCCTAATTCGATTATTTTACACGTAAAAGTGTCAACTTAACGACCCTTTGAGCGAAAATTCACGTACGCGCTCAACGAGCACCGTGAATATACCAATTTCGTCTCTTAAAATGCTCGACGAAGAATTCTTCGAAAATCACCCTGTTCGAAGCTCCTTTTCTAAATTCTGTGCAACGCTTGCGAACCTCTGATGCTTAGATCCTTCAGCTAGATCCCGTTCGATGAAAAACAACGTTAATGCACGTAGGCAGATATACGTGGAACAGGCAGCCAGGCATCCGGCGAGAGATCCGCGCGCGGAATTTCCCTGGCGGCGCCGATAAATCAGCTGCGGCCAACCGCTTAACGACAATGGGAGCCGAGAAAACTGTTCCGCGCCATGACAGCCTGTGTCATTACTGCGTTACTTATAAGCTCGTTCGCGGCCACGTCGACCGCATACGAATGAGACGCCGGGAGACGCCGGGAGAGACACCGAGATTACAAAACCGTCTAGCTTGAAAAGAGCATCCCTGGCCCCCGCCGCCGGCACGCCGCGTATGCGACGATACGAGTGCCGTGCGACTATTAATTGCCCATTAACATGCACGTTGAATATCAATCGATCGATCGATCGTGATCGGTACGTGGAAACCGCGCGTTTCTTTTGCCCCGCCATAGATCCGGCATCTTCTTGGTCTGTAGCGTCAAGGTTGCTCCTTTCGATCGCGAGATTTAATTGTTGCGTGAAAGGTGGAATTATTTAGTACGTATAGGTGTATTCGTTGAGAAGAGAAGGATGGTTTTCTTGGAAAGTTTGTGTAACGAGTGTTTCGAGATAGAGAAGATAGAAATGTTCTTAAAAGATATTAGAATGTACCGTAAGATCGTATCTGTAACGAACCTTGTATTTATTCTTGTTAATTTAGTAATTCTCGAGTAATGCGAAGATCCGAATATTTCGTGTTATTTCAATTGTTTGAGGAAAACAATAATGGAAGAAAGTAGTATACTTATAGCTGGAAGATCTCGTTAGAAAGTACTAGAATCTACTGGAAGATTATATCTGTAATACGATGTAGCATACGAACACGATCCATTGCGTTAGCATGAATGTTATATCTCATCTAGAGTTTCGAATAAAATGGAACAAATCAACGCTACGATTTAAAATACGATACCCATGACAAGTTCCTAGCCACTTGCATAAAATATCAAAGCCTGAAAGTAGTTACGAACACACGTACGAAATATTCCTAAAGAAACACCTTTCCAAAACCACCAAAGTGATCACGTATAATATCACAAAACTAATCGAAGCTTCCCGCTTCTGTTCTCCGCTTTTCTCATCAAGAACCGAAGAAAAAGCTGCGCTCATACCTCGAGTTTAACGCGCGGTCCCAAAAGGAATCGCGCGA